TTTTTTTTTTTTTTTTTTTTTTTTTTTTTTCTTGGTATCGATATTAAAACATTAAAATTAAATAAAAATGCGTCATAACTATCACCAAACATGTAAAAAGGAATATATTATAATATTCATTTTTTATTATTTAATATGTATTTACTAATTTATAAACCATTTTGATAGAAAAATTGTTTAATTTTTGATTGAATATAATACACATATATATGTGAATGTCCTATCTGAATTAAATTTAGTTCATCTTTTGTTGTTTTATGTATTGTAAGATAATTACATTAAATATTATCTCAATTTCTTTTTCATACATATATATATATATATATGTGATTTTAACTATATATATATATATATATGTGTATATGTGATCATTATTAATTAATATTTTGTGAAATTTTTATATGCGCGCAATTTCTTATCAATGGATTATGACGCAATACATTATGACGCAATAGATTACGACGCAATTACTTACTCTGCTTCTTGCCATAAATATATATGTGATTCAATATATCCTCGTCGATCCGAAGTCTGATCTTCTCTGTGTGTTTGTATAGACGTCATATTCATTTAAATTTAACATTATTGTATGAAACACTTATATGTCTGTCTACTTTGCACCGCACAATAATACGTACATACAGGTTGAGAGGTAAACTTACTAATGATGTTAGAAGACGAAGAAGAATTGAAATATACTTTCTTTTATTAAATAAAAACCGATCTAGGTTTCATTTGTTTTTAAACAATTAATAAAAATACATTTATTGTGGGTAATGTATATTTTATTAATGATTGGTAAAATGTGTATCATTATCTAGCATCGGTACAAGCTATTATTACTTCATTTTACCGACTACTGAAATTATGCTGTTGTATCTTATGATGGAAAATTTTATAATTCAGTTACCGACAGGTAGACAATATGTTTCGTTTTCTAGACGAAAGATAGCACATCGTGCTAAGGACAAAATCAAAATGGCTATCTGCCGTGTCGTGTCGTGTCGTGTCGTGTACTGCCACGTGCTCTATTAAATATTTAACATAATGAAATGCAATAGTGATTCAATCATAATTAAGTGAATAATATTGTTTTTAATTATAAAATAATAATTCAGTTCATATTCTCTTTTTGTCTGTTGTAGTGATCGCCAATTGTGGATGTGAAAATAGTTACAAATTAGATATACATCCTGTGTGTGGTACAATAGTATTACGTCATAACCGATTTTACTGTTCTATGTATGTAATATAATATTTTTTCTTTTTTGTCAATTAATATATTTCCACTATATATATTATTGCGAAGATTATACAAATTTAACAACTAGCAATGTGTGCAGTGAGAGAAAACATCTTGATGGGGGTCTGGGGGCGAAGCCCCCAGAAAGAAAAAAAAGCGGGGTCCGGGGGCGCAGCCCCCGGCGGGGGTTGAGGGGGCGGAGCCCCCCATGGGGGCGTGGGGGCGAAGCCCCCCCCATCATATAACTAAACTTCAATGTGAAAATAAAATAAAATATAAAAGAAATTGAAATATACAAATGAATAATCAAAATATGGTTGGTTAAGCTATCACTTTTTCATATTTACATACATCTATATATACATATATTTTATATACATTTTTTCTCCAATCTCTAATTACAATTTTTAAAATTGTTTCAGAACAAAATATACACACGCAGAAGGCTGACCACAATTTCATAATGAAATATAAAAATAGAGAATAATGGCAATTGGAGCTAGAAAGAGAAGTGTTGTGGAACCTACAAAAAAAGGATTTCTTTTATATAAACTCTTGTGCTGCGACTTATCATCGTCGACTGTATCGACATATAATTTTATATAAATGAACGGGGTGATTAATTGGATCAAAGAAAATAATGTAAAACCAGAAAGGATTTTGCCTCGACTGTGTCTTTTATGATAGATCATCATCATCATCATCATCAGCAGCAGCATCATCATTAATATATACTCTATATATACACATACATATTTCAATTCTCTTGCGTGATCATAAGAATATATAGTATTTCATGGAAAATTAATTATAACATATAACAAAAGATTTCCATGCATGTACAATTATATGTAGTAGTAGTAGTAGTAATTCATGTTACAGTATTAATTTGTTACTAAAAACATATTTATGACTTATTTTTAAAATATTACATAAACACACTTGCAAAATACTTATATTGTTTCAGATAATCAAAGTATTATAATAATTAATTTTGTGGTTACGTGTATAATGATAAAAAAATATTTCTTATTATTTGAATTTTCGCGGGCAAAAAATTTCAGAGGAAAAAAACCTAGATGGCTGCCGTGTCGTGTGTGTCCTACCACGTGCACTATTAAATATTTAATTAAAGAAATCCTTATAGTAATGCAATCATAATGCTGATAATAATATTATTTTGAATTTAGAATAATTCTTTTCATATTCTCTTCTTTTTTTGTAGTGATTAGTGATTGCCAATTCTGGATGAAAATAGTTACAAATTGGATACATATTGATGTGTGGTACAATAGGTATTACTACGTCATAACCAAAGGAAAATAATTTTCTTTATTAAATCCAAGAGTATATATATATATTGATGAATTCAGGATATTTTCATTACATCAATTTATTTTAACAAATACTACTAGTTACTACACACAGGTAAATCTTTAACTTTATGCATTATCTAAACATTTCTGTCCCTTTTCTTAGCAAAACAACTCTCTACATGCTATTCCATCACACCAACTCTCCACGCAATCCTATGACTCCATCCATAACCAATGATCCCACACGTTCATGAGGGTTTTGTTTACCACTCAATCCTATGATTCCATCCATAACCAATGATCCCACACGTTCATGAGGGTTTTGTTTACCACGCAATCCTATGATTCCATCC